CGATTGATTTACCTGCCGGCTTTGCATAGTTGAATTTCAATGTGCCCTGGAACGGGAAGCGCGGCCGAGCACGATCGGCAACTGAACCGGAAAAAGGCTTTCCCGAAGAAGACAAATTTTATTATGGGAACGAGACGATCTCATTGTTTATTTTTTGATAATTGAGATACATCGCACATCGATAATAAGGATTCATTCCTCTCTTTAGGATTGTAATGACAACTGGACATTTAAAAAACTTACTCTTGGCCATACGCAAATTAAAAACAAGATTGTTTCTTGTATTAGAGGAACGCATGGTTTTCATATCGTGCACCTGCGGACCACTATGGAACTTTCGCAAAATCGATGCAATTTGTTATGCATCCACCATATATACGCCAAAATTTGGTAAAAACAAGAATTTGTGCTGTTACTTGCGATTTAAGATGATATCTTTTCAAATATCTCGCGTACCCTGTAAGGAAGTACGAAAACTGGAACTCTCTCCACACAGTTTAAGATAATTTTCAAATAAAATCATCCCATCTTTAACAGTTTTTTATTTATCGCCAAAAATTTACCCACAAAAACGGAAATTTTTAGGATCTTTTAGATTTTTTGCCCATAAACGACACACCCTGTATATAAATCAAACAATGTTCGAAGTAGAGGTTATAGCCCTGGATCTCCCGCGTTTCCTGGTATATGAATTTTTACAAAAGAGTAAATATTTATTTTCTGAAACCATGCTGATTGATAGATTGAGGGCAAGAAATGGTGACTTTCATTTGGATTTTTTCAAATATCTCGAAGAGCAAAAACCGTAAACACAAAAATTGCTGCTCTTGATGCGGTCTATAATACTATTTGAACCGATTTGAAGCCAATTTATTTTGGAAAAGATTTGTGTCCCTAATAGAAAACCCCTGTATATAATCGAAAAAAGGCATAAAATAAATGTTATAGCACTGAATCTTCCTCGTTTGTTGGTTAGTTTTCGTTAGTCGAGGTAATAGTTTTGGAGAAAATGAATATCTTATGGAAACCAACGTAAACCAAAAAAAAAATTCTAAAATTTTTAAAAAATACTTCGCCATACTTGTCGGTGTGGACTTCTGCCTCTTCGCCAAATTTGAAATCGAGAGCTGCAAATTTGAGACACCTGTTACATTTCTTAATATAGCAAGGAATATCTTGAACAACCTGTAGAATAGGTAAAACCTTCAATGCAGAAATTTTAACTGTCCGCATGGGCTATATAACCATGTAAAAAGAAACTGACAACTGAATCACTTTTTCACAATTACCTTTATAAGGGAACCCAAATTTCATTTTTTTGTAAATTACTGACGCACCCTGTACATTTTTAAAAAATCATCATGAATAAAAGTTTTTGGTTTGGATTTCGCGGGTCTTTTGATTCAAAAAAACAGAGAACGGACAAAACAGGCAAAAGCACGCTGATCATTTCTGTGCCCATGGGGGTCCAATAGGACCAAACGTTGCCGAGATAATAATAATAATAATAATAATAATAATAATAATAAATAACCTTATCTAAAATTATATAAATATTTTGTTTAAGTAGCTTAACTTTATTTTTATTTGCAAATATCTTTAAATGCGATTTTAATGGGTTTAGCTTTAAATTATGGGCACGAGAAAGTTCACTAATCCTGTTAAGATCTTGATTTATAAATACCTCTGCATCCATGCTGCTAATAAAATCAAAGCAGCAATACAATTGAGTATCGTCGACATATGCCTCAACTTTGCAAAAATTTAAAGAATTTAAAATGTCAGAAATGTAAATAAAGAAAAAAATAACGATCCAAAAATGGAACCTTGCGGCACCCCAGAGAAAATTTCAATTTCTTTCGGATATCTGCTATCACAGTATATTTTCTGATATCGATTTGAAAAATACGATTTCGTCGGCTCGCGTGAATTAGAGGAAAAACCATTGAAATTCAGCTTGGAAATCAACAGGTCATGGTTCACCGTATCGAATGCCTTCGAGAAATCCAAAAGTATTAAGGCCCTTATTAGTTTTTTGGCAGTGGCTCGGACAATATCATCACACTTAGAAGAGCATTCGCAGTACTTGACTTTCGTTTAAAACCGCACTGACTTTCTGGCACTATTCTTTATCCATTATATAGATATACATTTGATCATAAAGAACTTTTTCGTATATTTATTTTCGGGCATTACTTTTAGCTAATGGTTTTCCAAGTGAGGTTTTCCAGCTTTTGGAAAATAGTTTACTTGTATGGAAGAATTCATAATGTGAGTGACATACTTATCAATGTAAGTGGAGAGATTTCGTCAACCCCTGTCGCATTTGTTTTAATTTTATGAATATATTTATGAACATCAGCAAGACTTGTTAATTCAAAACAAAAGTGTAGAGCATAGAGAAAGTAATAATGAGTTTTTCACAATACGCGTACGGAGCCTAATCAGTCCGCCGCGATTATCTTCCGAAATTGCAAGGTTCTTCACGGTACATTTGCACTAAAATTTGTAAGTCGCCGGGGGGGCTCGAGCGGCTGCAGTCCCGTCGCCATAAATCTCGCCCGGAAATTGCCAAAGTTCCGAAACTGTAATGATGTGTAAAAATGAGCGAGGTGTCTGTTTACCGTATCCCGGATTCTTTCCCATTGTCTCCCGGCTCTCTTTTGTTGCACGTTCCCAGTTTTAATCCGTTCGCGCGGGGATGAGGGGGACGAGAAATAATTAAAGCTATTGTTGGGCGCGGGTAAACCACGTCATCCTCTGCAAACGCCAAGAAGTTTTGCTTGGTTTACCCATTGTCCCCCACGTCTGCGTCGCTCTAATAAACGCCGGCGGCGCGCTGTTGCTGTATTTCTCGAAAACGTGGCAACGCGGCAATGAAATGCTTTCTAACACAAAAATCACTGAGAATATACGACATTGTGCCAGAGACATTTTTGAATTTGAACTTTTACTTGATGAAAATCCATTTATCAAAGTAAATAAGAACTAAAAGTTCAGATTTTCACGAAATTGTATATTTTTACATGACAATCGTGTGTTTCTCAAACATTCGATTATATCGATTTTCGGAAGTAATAAGTTTTTTTTTTTCAAGTAAAGTGATGGTGTATGGTCAAACACTACAGACAAGTTGCACTACATGTATATTGTATAAATCGCTTATATTCACCTTTATATTCATTTTTACTGTATTGTTTACGAATTGCACGCATTGTTGTGTATAAATCCAACCATCCAATTATTAGAGAAAAGAGCAGAGGTAAGGTGTTCTAATTCTATTTTCAGTGACCCGAGCTGAGATTGTTTTACGGCTCTATAAATAAGAGAGTTGATAACCGATGATTTTTGGACCTGATGGTGATGTGCCCCTCATTAGCGCCCCCCCCCCCCCCCTTCATCAAACAATATATAAGCAGGTAGGGAGTAAAATACGAGCCAGTTTCAGTAAAGTTCTGAAGAAGCCAACAGGATGATTGATGATGATGAAACCAACGCAGGAGGAATCCAGAAGTTTTGTAAAAAGTATTACAGTAGCCTGTGGAATCATTTTTAGTTACTATTGATTCAAAATCTTCGGCGACTCCATTAACAAATCGGATTCGCTCTGGTTGTCATAGTTTAAAACTGCCGCGGACGTCTACTCGAAACCCACGTCGCTCTAAAATAATACTCGAAGTTCGTCCCCCCGTCCGCATCCCCCGCCCGCCGTGCAAAGTCGGCCCTTAAACGAAACTACGTATCCGCGCCGAAGTTTCCTTTAGTTTTCCATTCCGGGTCCCGGCGTTTCAAGCTTCAGTTAATATTTACTGCGGCATTCATTCGTGTTTGCTCGGGCGTACTGGCAAAACTGAAATTTGATTTGCCATAAGCAAATACGGCTCGCTTTCTCGGAAGCGCGTGCTGGGCGGTCGCGAGGGGCGCAACATGTCGTGTTTGTGATCCCTCTCCTCCTAGGTACCTTCTCTGCTGAGATTGTCGATCATCATTGCATGGCACCATCGCATGTCTGTGCTTGATGGATTATATAATAATAATAATAATAATAATAATAATATTAATAATAATAATATCAAATGGACTCTAACAGAATTGGAAGAACTAAACACTTCAACTCTCAAAGAATTCATCAGAAACATCTAGCGCATCATCCTCAGTCAGGATAGAAAGGTTCCACCTATTATGGAAGCATGAACGAAATGGCATACCGAACATCGCCGACAGACATTCCGACAACTGCAGAACCTGAGAACAACAACCACAAGGCAACTTCATCTGGCAGTAGTGAGCGATGACAGCAATCCAACGCCACTGAAGTTACAGGATGAGAACTTTGATCCCACAGTAAATATGAAGACACCAGAGCAACTCAAAGACCAATGGATACGCAAAGGTTTGCACTGCACACTATCGAGAATAAGTGCTTCTTCGGAATATTTAAAAACGGGGAATTTATTCCTCGAACATAGACGAGTTGTTTTTGGCTTTTTTTGTTAGGGCCTACCATATTTTATCATATAACTTGGTGTCTGGAACGATGCGATGGAAATAAAGCTCCATACGGTTGGCAGAGTCTCCTAAGGTTGTCGAGAAGGGTTTTCTGTGGACTAGTGTGTCTGATATTGGCACCTTAAACAAGTTTATCAGAGAGTCGAAGCCCGTTTGGACTTATGGGATCACGGATCAACTTACTCCTCTACTAGGATTAGTCTGGGGTACGAGCAGTGATTTATGTACCGGAAACTTTTCACCCCACCCTCGTATTGGTTCTCATATTGCTGCAGTGCTGACCAGTTTGTTTATTAAAATATCATTTTCGTTATGTACGTTATGTTAACATTTATTTTGATGAATAACCTTTATTATATTGATGATATTTTTATATACGGAGGTTTTATTATTAATTTTAAGCCATCGCAGGGCGCAATCCTGATTTTACGGGATGGGACAGCAAAACGCGGTAGATTTCTCAACATTTATTTGTAAAATCTACACGACGCATCCGTCAGATAAATAAAATCCTAACGACCGTAGGTCGACGTATAAAAATAAACAAAATCACAATTTACAATTTAAAAAAGATTACTTAGCGATAAAACAGTAGTATAACCCAGCCAGACACGTCACTGGTACCTGTACACCACGTTCTGATCTTCTTCCTGAGCGTACTGGGGCCTCTGCTGCGGTGCGGCCTGTAAAATAGCCGGAATGGCGTCAATTACGTCATGAGGGTTGCGCCACTCGAGCCCAGATTACTAAATTACAGTTTCGAGTTGCTTGGGAGAGGAATTTAATAAGCAATCACCCCCCTACCGCCCCCACCGCCACTTACCTGGACGTATTGCGGTCTGACGGGGGGTTGCCGATGGACCGTCTGAAATTGCTGAGGGTCCGGCTTGGGCGTCTTGATGACGATGTCTGTGGGTTCCCTCGTCACCTGCGAACATGGCCGCCATGTTGGATTTTTCGATTTTAGGAAAGAGCGCAAAATTTTCAGTCCATGCCACAAAATGTTTTATCCCATTTCGTAGGGTTGGGTCTTAATTGCTATATATAGACCATGATTTATTTCATCCAAGAAGGACTTTGACCTACGTTTTCTCTTGTTAAAATCATATACTATTCAAGTCGTTCATTAAAAGGTCAGATATCTTGGCCACCCAGATCCCCTGACCTTTCGCCCTTGGATGTCTTCGTGTGGGGCCACACAAAAAATGAGCTCTATGAATTTTTCGATACGTGCTATTTTATTGTATTGTGATGTCGTGATGTGGCATTAGCAAATACTCTTACTGACGCCAATACGTCGATTATCAACAAATTTATATTTTTTATTTCGTTTAATATTTTTTGTGTATAAATAGGTATATATAGGGAACTTAATATTCTTTAATTGAAACACAATCGTATTTTACAAAGTTCTAACTGGTGGTATATCATATTGTACAGTATGGCCAAACTTATTTTACATATCTGGTGAGATTAGTGTGTATGTTCCAATACAGATATTTGGAAAACGATATATCGAATCTAAGTATATGTCGAATATATTTTTCACTTGGAAATGATCCCTCTCTCTCTCTCTCTCTCCCTTTTATATTTTCCCCGAAAAACTAATCAAACAGGACTAACAAGATTGCTTTCGAAAAATCGTTTCCGATTTCGTATAGTAAAGGGACGCATTGTTTTTCTATCGTACTCTTACGGACCGCTATGGAACTTTCGCAAAATCGATGTAATTTAATTGTGCATACACCCTGTATAAAATGTCCATCACATCTCGTCGAACTTCAAAGTTACAGCAAATATCAGTAAATATTAAAATTTGCAAGAATAATAGAGCTGACGAATGATATTTTTGCAAATATCTCGCGCCCTGTATAATTGACGAATCCTGAAACTCTCCCACGACATGGTTTACCATACTGTTCAAAAAAAAAATTATCACATCTTTAATAATTCACCCACAAAAACGGAAATTTTTAGAATATTTTAGATATTTTGCCCACAAACGACGTACCCTGTATATAAGTCCAACAATGTTCTAAATAGAGGATATAGCCCCGTATGGAGTAAATTTTGATTTTCGGTTAATAATTTACTCTATAAAAGAATTTTTTTTTTTCGACGGTGATCATTTCTAACAAGAAACTTGTGGCATAGGTGTGACTGGTAACACAAATTTTTAGTTTTTGGTTTTCCAATTCCGCATTAGCAATCATCCCCTTCCCTTCGAGATTACACCAGCCCCAATTTTAATCGTTTTAAATGCGCGAAATCGATCTTAAGCCCTGAGGCGCCTCGATTTTATTATGATAATAGGCGGGGATTATTGGTGCCGCGAAACAACCCCGAATAATAACGATATTAAGGAATCTCGAGAGCAGATTGCTCCACCGTTTTAATCGGATTCGGGTTCGGCATTGAACTAAACTGGGTGACCGGCTATTTCGACTTATGGGTATAGTGTATCCCAAAATGTATCGTGATTGACGTAGTTGTAACAACGTTCCTACAAACTCTAACAATAATCCAAAAATGGATTCTTGTCGCATCGGTTGCTGCAGAAACTTGCAATTGTCAATCTCGTCGTCGCCTGAACATAATTGGCGCAGTCGGTAGGATTTCACTGAGCAGTTGTATTATTGCTGCTGTAGTTTTTTTGATTTTTCATTTTTTGCAATCTTTTTTCTTCTTCGGGCATTTCTTTACTAAGCACTGGCATAATGAAATGTTTATATTTGTTTATCTATAAGTGTATCTAACCATTAACACTTCAATGACAAGGCAGTAGTGGACCAGGTATTTCTTAAACGCTGACGATTATATATATTAATTATTTCGGCTGATGATGAAACCTCTTTTTTTTAGTCAATAGAACAGGAATTGTTTTCCACCCTATGGTCCGGATCTTGCTCTTAGTGACTTTCACCTATTGGTTTCTGTGGCGAACAATTTCGCTGATGCAAAATTTGAATCAAAGAAAGCTTGTAAAAACGTACTTTCCCAGTGGTTCTATGGAAAAGACGTGATGACATTTGAAATAGCAACATGTTATGGTGCATATTTGAGCTAAATCCTATTCAGTCTAGTTATCCGAAAATGTTAAGAACGACTCTCGAGGTTCCCTTAGAGATCCTTTCAGAACAACCAGCATAATCGGACAAGTCCATGAGATCGATATATAAAAGAATTAATGTTAGCTACATCTGGTGTCGGTTGGCGATTCTTTGTGGATAGAAACATCAAACAATTAATAACGTCTTACCACCTGTTGCAATTGCAAAATGCAGTTTTTCAGCAAGACAATGGCAGACGTCATCCCGTTGCAGTTACGAGAAACTTCATAAATGTTCAGATTTGCAAAATACAAAGGCCACTAGGAAGTTTCCAGTCTATTCAAGACAAAATTATAAGTTTAGCAGGAGATAGCGTTTTGCCAAAACATGAACAGTGTGCTAATTGTTTCCAAGACAAAATGTTTCACACTTTCCTTTAAAGAATTTCAGAAGGATCTTGTAATAGCAACCTAATTTTTAATGAGTTTTAATGATCTACTTTCTGCATTCAAATTTTAGAGACAAAAGAGCATAAAAAATCCTTAAATCTGTGACACTCATGAAATGAAACCAAAGAAAAATCCGAGAAATAATCTTCACCGAGACTCAGTTCCTATATCTTTCACCAATTAAAGAAACGCTGGATGGTGTGTACGTCCAAAATTCTCGTTCGTATTCTGCATTGAAAGAATGGACAAAACGTTTTCGAATGGCAGGAGTCCCTTGAAGATGATTCAAGAACTGGTCGACCAGTGGAGGTCATAACGGAAGGTATTGTTGCGATTGTGGAAGAGGTGGTATTGAAAGACCGACGTTTACAGGTCAAGGAAATCTCAGAAATTACTAAGCTTTCTCATACAAGTGTTCGTCGAATCCTGCATGATCATTTAGGTATGCATAAGGTTAGTGCAAGATGGGTTCCTAAAAATCTTTCGGGTATTCGAAATCAACGCCGGGTCGAGTGTGCGCTGTCTTTTTTGGAAGTCTGTGGGTCGGAACCGAAGCCTGTGATAGAAACTATTGTGACGGGAGATGAAACTATGGTTCTCTATTATGACCCTCTATCGAAAAAAGAATCAAGGGAGTGGCGTCGTAAGGGTGAAGCACCCCCAAGAAAATTCAGAGTCTGCCAGTCAACAAAAAAGGTGATAGCCACGATTGTGAAGGAATTCTTTTTATAGATTTTAAAGAAACTAATACCACTGTCAATGGTAAATATTACGCAACATTATTACATAAATTGCAAGAGTGTAAACGTGTAAAACGTCGAGGAAAACTGACCAGAGGCGTGCGTCTTTTGCACGATAATGCACCTGTCCAAACTGCTGGTGTTGCACAAGCTGCCATTTTAGAGTGTGGGTTGCAATAGATAGATCATCTTCCCTACAGTCCAGATATGGCCCCCAACGACCATTATTTGTTTGGATATTTGAAAAAGGACTTACGTGGACGGCGGTTTAACGACGAAGTTGAGTTAAAAGAGGCTGCTTTAGCTCATTTTACGAATACTTTTTTAAAGGGATTGAGTTGGTAATAAAGAGATAAGTGTATTGAAGTTAAGGGGGATTATATTGAAAAATAATAAAAAATTGTTACTCTACTTTGTTCCTTTCATATTCAGGCCGGGAAATTTTGATACATGACACAACAACTGGACTTCTCAAAACAAAACTCAACCAATATTTCGGAATAAAGTCCATCTTCAGTTCGAACCATCAAAAAACTCGCTGCAAATTGAACGTTGCGAAACCCCAGTCGAATAACGAATCGAATCGCGACCCCCTTCCCTTTGATCTGTTTACAAGCGCCGCCGAAGCCGATAAAAGCGTTTGCGTGTAATTTGGTCCGCGCCTCCCCCCACCCGCCTTTTCATTTTTTTCGCGCCCCGAAAATCGCCCCCCGCTCCCCGCCGGCAAATACCGTTTCCCGTACATCCGGCAATACGTTTATGGGACGACGTATCGAATTTATTACGGAACTAGGAAACCTTTCGCATTACAAAAGGTCGCTGCGGGAGCGTTTGTATTCGCGACGGGGGCTTTTACGTTGTAAACTCTGCAGCGTCGATGCATAATGTATAATATATATGTGTGTGTGTATATTCGAGGGAATATTTCGACGATGGCGTAAATAATAAATCACCGATATTCGGTTATGGCGTTCTCACCTCAGCTTTGAAGCCCTCTTTCGGGTCCGCCGTGTACTTTACGGTCCTGATGTAGCCGTCGGCGTCGACGACAGAGTAGCTCCCGGTGATCTTGTTGCCTTCCCGTTCTTCCTTCCTGTTCTGGTAGTTGGTGTACTGGTCGTCTTTAACGTCGAAGCCGAACTGGTACGACGGGCTTGGCTGGAATGGTCACAAATGGACGGTTAGGCGACATAAAGCGGAACTGTTTGGATAAGGATGAAGAATAATTAATAATTTCACCGAACACAATTTTAATGGATCAATATTTCAAATTCGAAAAACTCTTTGGTATTTTGCCTTTTTGATTGTTTTCCTAATATTCTGTAATTCTGTTATGCACAACCATCGGTAAAGAAGCGGCTAAACTAAATCCGAATTCTGTAATTTTTTTTGGTTGGAGGTTAGAGAAATAATGAAAAGGTACTACTAGCTTTCACTTTTTTTAAGTTTTTGAAGTAAGTATGAAGTAATATTGGTGATCCAATACTTGAGACACAAAGCTTGATTGTATTGACTAGTTTTTATGACTCACTTATTTACTTTATGCTAAGTGCTATATAATTTATTATTAATCTTTTTACTTACAACTTAAAGTATAATTCAAATTCAAATTTTGTCATAATTTGAGTTAGTCAATCCTTCAAAGTTGAAAAAAACTTTTAGGTATTTTAAGTTCCGAATGTTTCGCTCATAATTTGTAATTCTTTTAGGCGCCGCCATCAGTAAAGAAGCGTCTAAACTAATTCCGGATTCTGTTATTTATTTGGTTACTTTTGGATCTATCAGTTTGACGCTTCGGGTGACGGAGCTTAGAGAAGTGATGAAAAAACACTACTAGAGTTTAATTTTTGTATAAGTTTTGATTTTTTTGCAGTATTTAAATTTTTGAAATTTTCTGAGAATCGGTGAAAGTAAGTCTAACGTGTCAGTAATAAGTAGGTGTTCTTGTAGTATCAAAAAATTAGAACCGTACATGTAGAAGCACATACACAATAGTAATACATGGAGCAAGTAAAGATAATATGAATGTTGGTGGGCAAATAATTGAGACACAAAGCGTAATTCTGTTAAACTTTATTATTTACTTATTTATTGTTTTTTAAATGATATTTTTGTCCATGTAGATAAACACTAATTGTAATTCTCTTGCAAGTTAAACCTTACCTTTAGTTATTGTGACATATAAGTATAATTGAAATTTAAGTTTTGTCATAACTTTAGTCAATCAATCCTTCAAATTAAAAAAAGTAATAATAATCTGTTATTGCATCACGCGCCATCTATAAACAAGCGGCGAAACTAAATGGGAATTCTGTGGTTAGACATCTCTAGATTTGAAGTCCTGGGGATTAGAGGTTAGAATTTGTTAAGTTTAAGGTTTTGTGCAGTATCTCAATTTTTGTAATTTTTTTGAATTTTCTCGGAATAGATGAAAATAATTCACACTTGACAACATAAGTTAAGTTTCCTTTGAAGTATCAAAAAATTAGAACTGTACATATTGAAGCACCATTAGCAAAATAAACATTAGTAATAAATTGAGAAACCAATTAAACGTCGGAGGTTAGAAAAGTAGCGAAAAGACATTACTAGCTTTTTTTTTTCGTTTTTGGTTTTTCCAGTGTTGCATTTTCTAAAATTTTCGAAATTTCCCGTGGATCATTGAATGAAATTCACAGTTGGCAGGTTTTTTGTAGTATCAAAAGCTTAGAAGCGTACATATTAAAGACAGAGACTAGAACAAGAAACATCAGTAATTATTGGAAAAGTAATAAAAATATGAAGTTATGAATAATTAAAACAAAAAGCTTAAAAATGTTGTTGCTATTTATGACTTATTCGTTTACTTTTTTAGTCATAATATGTATTTTGACAATTTCCATGTACATTTTGATATTTTTTCACTTATAGATATATACAAATTCTAATTCTCTAGCGACAAATTTGAAACATTTTGCGTCTGACTTAATGTATAATTCATCGATGCGCTATATGTAAGGAAGTGACGCAAATAAATCGGAGTTCAGTAGTTGACTCCATTAAATTAAATTTGATGCCTCGAAAACGGAAGATGGAGAAGTAACGAAAATACACTATTAGCTTATACTAGTTACACTATAAGTTTTTGATTGTTTCAAATTTTATTTGTTATTTATTATGAATTTCAAGGACAGAGTACATTTCTACGAAAGAATTTAAGAAAAATGCACAATGAAATTATAGGTTTGGCTGCTACAAATGTAAAAAGTAAAAGTAAAAGCATATGTTACAAGTTAATCTTACAAATAGAAAAAAAAAGTCTGGCCTGTATCAAGTGTGTTTAAAAAAATTAGACACGTGCCCAGAAGACACATGGGGGCAAATCGAGACACTGCCACTACAATAAACACGTAAATTTTTTAAAAATTATATTTTTAAATTGTGTACTAATCCTAATTCTCTGCCAACTTGAAGTTCATCAATAGGTAAAGAATATACACATGGGGGAAAATACGCTTACCCAAATTCAAAACTCGTTAAAAGTTTGGTTGATCTGGAAGTGGTAGGAAACCCTATATTTTTTTATACAGCCTGTATATATTTCCATTTCTGATACACATATAATAAAAACAAACAAACGGTTTCAATTCAATAAATTCGATCCAACACGATCTATAAAAAATCGTACACAAGAGATAAAGAGATAAAACGTCATCCAGTTTTTTTTTAATAGACCACCCTGTAGAGTATTTTATCTTAAAAATGACAACCAAAAATATTTACTCTCCTCTCAGGGTGTCTGTGAATGAATACGTATCAAAAAGGGCTATTAGGGACGAATCGAAATGTCGCGTGCTTAAGCATAATAAGTAATAATAATAGTAAATTAATTGTTTTACAAAAAAAAACATGCTGATATATATATATATTAAAAAGTTACCTAAGAGTTAAATACAGTGTGCCCCCAAAAAACTTCAAAGAATAAAACGAGGTGAAAAAAAAATTACTCAAACCGCGAAAATTCGTGACCACCCGTTTACAAACGAATCTCGATTCGATGTTATTGTTCCTTTCGTTTGTTTTCCGCATGCACGGGCCGTAAGAGAACAGCGCGTGACGTAACGGCGCTCACGACACCCAACAATCGCGGGCGTCGCGTCGGAGGGGGGCACCCCGCGGGTCTATAAGTTGGGTAACCGAGAAAGTGAACCAGATCGAAAGCCTAGCGAGTTAATAATTGCCAGTGCCCCCTTTCGCAACCTCGTCGCCGCTATCATTATTGTTATTAAACGTTTTATTGGCAAATCGCGGAAAAAGAGGGCGCTGTCGCCACAGCGGCGGCGCGCACGGCAATTTTTTACGAAATAAATCAATTTAGTTATTTAATTATTTAATTAAAATAGTGGTTTAATGAAAGCATATCCTATAGTCATATAATATTTTAACAGCTATGACCAATATCTTTAATGAATATTTTATCAGCATAGGAAAAAAATGGCTGCTAAAGTAGAGTTGCCTAATGTTTTTAATGGAATCCGCAAATAATTTTCAAAAATGTTAACAATGAGACTATAGCATTTTTTAAAGAGTATACCAACAGAGTTTTTCGTCAGCATTATGTGCCCAATAAACAGCTAAGCACAGATGAATCTCTGGTTGGTACAAAATTCCAAACCACGATCAAACAATATTTACCAAATAAAAAGCGTCATAAATGGGACATAAATTTTTGGATGTTTGATAGAGTCTTCAGGGCCGCAGGTCTTCGAAGTGTCTATTAGTCCGGATCAAAATTAAAAAATCTCTTGGGTAATCCCAAGGATATCCTTGAAAAGTCGGGAATTTATGAAATATGTTGTAACGATTGTGACAAGTCCTATGTAGGGCAAACCAAAAGATCAATTAATGTTAGATTTAAGGAACATTTAACTCATTTAAAATTTGGTAGATTAGAAAAATCAAGTGTAGCCGAACATACGTTCAACAATAATCATAAGGTAGATATTAGTAATTTAAAATTATTTAAACATGTAAATAATAGTAGAAAATTAGATGCCTACGAAAGCTTAGAAATTGTTAAGAGAGGGAATAAGGCACTGACCAAGGACAGAGGTCCAATCCCATTTAGCCCATTATACGCGCTGATTGGTTGCGTGAACAGTGCGTAATTCCCCCTCCCACTTCCCGATGTATATATATAGAGAACATTTGTTCTATTAAGTTTAGTTTTAATCTTCTCCTGAAGATGCCAACTTGAGTTTCGGTTTGTGGTAAAACGCGTTATTGTGTGTTAGTACAGTGCCGAAGGTTCCAGTCGAGAGTTTGATCCGACTATTTTGATTTATTTGAAAAAACCCTAACTGAACTTGGTTTGCAAGGAAGCCCATCACGGGTTTGGAACCTAAGTGAAAACAACTTTTGCGCGGATCCATCAAAAACAGCAATGTTCTAATGAGTTGTAGCGCAACATGTTGGGATGGGAACGGTGGACTGTCTACTAAATACTGCTTATGCTGCCACATCTAAAGGGTAGATGGAGACAACTGTATTTCAAAACTAGTAATCTTGAAGCACATGTTATAAACACGCCTATTGAACACCATGCAACGATACTTGTTGGGGTCGCTGTAACGAAGAGTTTGTTTTCCAATATGATGGCCATAAACCAGAAGTTAAATTGGAACGCTGTTTAACAAGATTCGTTTGATCCAGAAGTCAACAACAAACATCATCAACATAAAATAGAAACAATTTCCATAACATCCCAAGAACACAAGACGATTCCGATTGTGTCATTTGATGAGTGGTTGTTGAAGTCAACCAAGGATGAAAAGACCCCTGTTTCGAAGAGAATAACGAGAGCCGAATATACAAAACAAATTCTTGCAAGAAAGTTTGTTTGGCGAAGCTTTAAAAGGCTCACAAATAAGTAGCATTTTATTTTAGAGCCCACCGTACTGTCGAACATAGAAAAAAAAAATTCTTGCCCCCAAAAATATCGAAAAATATATTTTTGAGACAGATCCTAAAGTGTTTTAAGCATGAAATATATATATATATATATATATATATATATATATATATATATATATATATATATATATATATATATATATATATATATATATATATATATATATATATATATATATATATTTGATAGTTGTTATTATTATCAACTATGGAAGTTTTCGTTCCACCTCTATTGAGTATTTAAATTAAATATCTTTTTTTGTCCGTCAACTGTTTAGTTTTGTGAAAACGTTTTTTTTTTTCTATTACAAGCTTAAGCCAATATGTTATAATTATTATAATTATATGTTCTTTCTACGACATACAGACACAAACCTTTTGGTTTATTTTTATGCTCGAAAAATATTTATGAATCGTGTTTCCATTCTTCTTAAATTTCGAGTTTTAGTTCGACTGCATAACGCAAAAATTTCTTTTGACTTATCGATGCAAATTCAATTAAAATTACACGTTTCGCATTTAACTTCGCGAATAAAAACAGGCGGCGCTGTTTCAAGTCAATAGCCGCCCCCACGGTTGTATCACTCGAAACCGCGTAAAAGTTTTCGGCTAAAACAAAACCCGCCGTATAAAATCTTTAGTGGCCCGTAAATCGCGATAGTCTCGCCGTAAAATCGGAGTGGTGGGGGAGATTATTGGAATGTACGCCATCCGTGTTGACAAAGGTCCGGGCGTAAAAGTTTAACCGCCGCCGCCAGGGGCGGCCCGTCCGTTAACGCATATCTTCCGTCTCCAAAAGTCGAGTGGTGGTGTTGATCTGGCAATTTCTTTGGATCGTAAATTATAAACAATGCCAAGTTGTGACGGAAATCGGCAAATATCTTTTTTTTTTTTAAGAATAAAGCATCAAAATGTAAGTTTTTTTTAAAGAAAATTGTATTGATTAAATATTTATCAGTAAAAATAAATTGCTAGAAACGTTCTGCGTTGTCTTGCTTTTAAAAGCAGCATTTTTTGGCGTTTTAACTTTACATCCACGATTAAAATCTCTACTATAATAACAAAATAGCAAAGACTACTCAAAACCCAAATAAATTAAAAAGTGTGGTTATTAATAATAACGTTGATGATAATAATAAAAAATAAAGTTTATTCGCAGAAAATTAATTACAGAAACATATTTGTATAAATTGTATACAATTATCCGCAAAAAGGGACTGAAGGCGTCAAAGTTCAGCCCCAAAAGAAATTTTAAATTTCATGGCACTTAAGTTTATCCATAGTGTTGCATACTACACTTTTTCGACGACCATTAGTTTTTACATTTTACGAATACATTCACTAACATAAATTGAAGCCGTGAGGTAAAGTATCCGAAAACATCCGATTTTTTTTTGAGCCATTTTCACAGAGCCCTGTTAACTATACCAAAGTTATTTTTTAATATCCGATTTGAACGTTTTTAGTGTATTCGACAAAGTACAAGGGCGCACGCCGCTGTTTTTATGCGGTAAAATGAAAATAATATTCTTTCTCATTCTTCTGTTCGCGTTTTACAGCCACCCCCCCCTCCACCAAACACCTGACAAAGTATAAGCGTATAAGCAAGCGTCAGACTGTCCCCACCGAGCCCCCCCCCCCCCCGCCAACGGTTCAAATTTATTGCGAAATAAGTGCAAACACGCCCCGTCCCTGGCCCGAGAGCACTTAACTAATTTAATAAATCTCGGGGGGGTATGGGGGGTATGTACATACGCTAGCACCGGCTTTTGATTTAAACCAAATAGGGGGTTATTTACGTAACCCCATTCCCCTCGCGTTCCCCCGCTTGGAAGCGGTGAGGCAAACGTCGAATCTTTCGGAAGTAATTAATTTTTACAGATCCTTATAATTAGCCGGTAAGGAGTTTCCGGCCTTTGATAAGCCTTCGTTCGCCCCCCCCCCCCCCTAATCGCCGACTCCGGCGAAATAAAAACCGGGATAATTAATTCAGCGATCAGCACCCCCCACTAGTTCTGTTTGATTAGTTTTTCGGGGAAATATAAAAGAGAGAGAGAGAGAGAGAGAGAGAATGTTTTCGAAAATGTCGCAATAAGAAGTATTTAATGTTTTAATTTTTTTTTAGGATTAAACTACACTTACTAATCCAAGCTAACCAAAAATATTTTGGTCCTTTTTTAAAAAGCCGTCGTGTTTATTTTCGAGAAAGTCTCTTCAGCATTAAACCACACTTACTAACCAGCGACACTCGAAAAAAGCCTTAGCGGCTCGAGTCCTGAATTTTAGTTCCTGTAAAATTAAATAAATAAGGCAGCAGCGGATATTTTTTCGCCAGAAGTACGTCATTTTGAAATAGGCGGTATTTCCGAAACTAAACTTGCATGCATAGGAGTCGGGCCACTTTAAATTTTTGACTTTAGTATGTATTTTTTCTAGTAAGCTACTACTTGTTCATTGGCAACACGTCTTCTCCGGAAGACGAGTTCCAGCATTCTCGCCACCGTTTTGGCGGTCTTTTCCCTACAGGATTGTTCATTTTTGCGAGAAAATCCCGATATTGGTTGGAAAGTAATATTAAAAAACTGACATTATGGGCTGTTTTTCTTGTAGATATCAGATGAAACTACAATTAGTAGACTTTTAAGAGTTTGCAAGCTTATAAGTACTTTGAATCTGACTTTGTTTTAAAAATGGGTATAGTCTGTCTCAATCTTCATCGTGCAATTATCGAAGTTACCTGCAGATGATAATAAAACGAGTCCGGTAGGTATTAAAGGACAGAACATTAGGGACGGACTGTTAAAAATTTTGGTAATTATGTTTTTTTTTGTTTATTTGGGTGGGTATAGTCTTATTAAATACAATAAATTCATAGCTAGGAATATCTATTAAATTTTTATTCTACATGTCTAGATCTAATTCTGTTTCACTATCAGAGTCATTGAGATTAATTATAATTATGTTGTTTCGAATAGAAATGTAAGAGTCTTGAATTTTTATAATGTGCTGTACTGAAGTTTTCCAGCTCTCAATTCGTATGTTATTAATTATATTTTGATCAAATTTATAACACCGGAATTTAAAGTAGGTGTAACATTTTCTGCCCTGACCTTTAATTTTACTGTTCAGTCAAATTATCACATACATACTGTCCAAAGGTTGCGCTTTTTTTCAGTCTTAAACTTGATAAGGCCGGTGCTTTACGTAGCTTGCGTTATCCATGAAAATAACCAACAACAACAAGTTCGGCAGTTGTATCCTCATGATAATCCAAGCTAGAATCATTAACATTGTCTGCAGACAATAGCAAAGCAGTTTTGGACACTTAAGAAATACATCAGAAAGAAAGAAATATAATTGGCCCATCCCTGGGTTGTCACTCAAGTTATAATAAATTTTTCGTTAGCGGCTTTACACAATAACAATAGTTAAAGCTTGATTGGGGAGGCTTCGTCAAAAGCCAACACGACGAAGATTGAGACAGACTATAACATTATAATTCTTGAATGGTAGATTTGTTTGTTTTTCGTAAAGTGAATTGTTACCCGAAAATCTTCGAAAAAAAAAATTATTGAAAAAAACAAAGTAGCGATTTGGGACAAGTGGAATTTCTCGAAATCTAGTAAAGAGACGTCCTATAGCTCTACTAGTTTTCTTGAAATAGGACCTATCTAGCAAAAATCAAGTCGTAAATACAATACAAGGTATGCAATTTTTTTAAAAAAAACATACTTTCTCACTACATACTTTTGTGGCCTGCCCTTTATAATCCTGAATAATTCTAGTACAAACAAAAAGTCTTCATTCGGTATATGGGGCACTGATTAGATTAAAAACCGCGCGCCTCTGGAAGATAACCCGGTTTAATATTAAGCGGGAGGATTGCCCTTCCCCCCGCCCCGCTGACGCGAAAAATTCGAATTTTTCGAATTCCCGAAAAATGCAACGCGACAACGCCGAACGCCTCGCCGGAATGCAATTTCAAACAAAAACGGGCCTTTGTTTCGAAAACACTTACGTCATAGTCGTCGGCCTGGTCGTCTCTGGGTTGTTGCTGCCTCTGCTGCTGCTGCTGCTGCTGCTGCTGCGGTATCTTCGCGCTGTACACGGGCTGTTCAGGCCTGGTCACGTACTTGACCTGAGGCTGGTACACGGGCTGCGCGTAAGCCTGCTGCTGCTGCTGCTGCTGAGACTGCCTGGAGACGTCACAGCGCGTTAGGACAGCAGTGGGAGGGATAGATTGGGTTCTTATAGTACGACCAAAAATATAGTGACTTTAAGTATTTTGCACTACCTTCGTAGGACCGTGGTAAAACCGATCCCAACAGATGTTTATTCTCCATTAAGTAGGTCTTGCCTGAGATGGACCCTAACGAATATTTGTAAAAACTTGAAATTTTAATTTGAAATGTAAATGGACCGTTTTAAATTTGATTAAGCATTGATGCGGGGTATTTAAGAAAACGCAGAAGCGTTTAATCTAAATTGCAATATGTTCGTATATATTTCGGAGGTATTCGACTGTGATCCTGCCTATAAGTATGTATATATGTACCTGATTCTCGTGCTTTGACCCTGGTAGGCTGTCTTCACTGAATAGTTCAACGGGTAAGGGTAAGGGTAAGTACCTGTACTGTACAAAAAAAGCGAATCCATTTGCCTTCGGATGCTAATTAAACTGTTTTGAAACTTTACAATGTTATAGGAAATTCAGAATGGGAAGTAGGAGCAGCAATAAAAACAAGTGACATGACCAAAGTTCCGAAGTCAACTGTAAAAAAAATTGTTGCAAATGAAGATGCTGGTACTTCTCGAACTGTTAAAGAGCAACACCCAGATCTAATTAGGCGTTTTGACCCTAGAAGAACTGCATAAAAAGTACTGACAGTTGTGCCAAAGAGTGGTTGTGTACTTTTTTGGAGACAATGGATTTTCAGTCCCAAACAATTAGTAAACGTCAAGTGCTAATGGAATTTCGCAATGGAGAGTATATTATTTAAATGCAAGTGAAAAATTTGGGCATTAGTAGGTGAAACGTGGTTCGACACTTATGACACAGTAAAAAAAAGATGGTGTGATAACAGTAGCAAGTGTGTACACATGGAACACTCATAATAATTCTTCATGCTGGGTTCAAAAACGGTTGAGTAGAAGATTATCATTATCAAATATTTTGAAGAGAGAGCTACACGAAACGGACACAAAATCTTGAGATTACCGTATCATTGCATATTTAGTCCGATTGAGATGATTGGTGGCTAAATTTGGTGATAGTACCATAAACGTAATTCGGCAAGAGGTAGCTAAAATATCAGTACAAAACTGTGAAAAACGAGTAATAAAAGAATAAAATATTAATCGAGAACGATTAGTGGCTTTCGTGAACTATGAACCATGTTACGACAGTAGCGATAGTGATTTTAATATTTTGTATTTTAATAATGACACTATGTAGATATGTAATGAAATAGAACATAATAAATTGTTACTTTGTACTAATTTTTTTATGTACATGTTTCCAGAATTGTGAAAAATTTAGTGTTTGTTAGTGTAGGTAGATAAGTTCCTAGGACGGTCCTGGAATGGTTACGGGTAAGGGTCTGCTCGGCAGGGTGCTCTATAAGGGGCTGCAGTTTTGGAGTAATAAACAATAAGCAAAGTTTATCACGGGGTCGATAGTAAGAGCACTATATTTTTGGTTGAAGTATACCTGGCCTGGGCTTGAGCTTGCTGCTGGGCCTTCACCGCCTGGTCATAGAATAATGTTTGGACGGGTCTCTGCTGCGGATGCTGCGGTTGTAGCTGGAATTAAGACAAAGTTGATGCTTAGCAGGCTATCTTCACCTAATTATATATTGTTGAATAATGTATTATTTTTAGGAGTGCTATAAAAAATGTATAAAAAATAACACCAAACACCAGAATATGGGTTACCTAATATACAGGCTGCCATATTTACTAGGCATATTGTTATTGTAATTAACATTTTAGTTTCGGTGATTTGATGTAGGCGGTATTTTAAAATTGAATCAAACCAAAAATTGTAAAAGACATAAATTTGTACATTTTTATGTTGCAAATAGAATCCGATAGTCCAAAACAGCGGTAATTTTGAATATATTTGATATCGTCTACTTGAAACGTTCTTGTATACCTTGTCTTGTAAAGTCTGTTTCTGTCTATCCAGTCCATGTTCTCACTTTTTTTCCAGTGTGTAGTAAAGAAAAAGTATATTAAGTATATTTTGGTAAAGTATGGCGAATGGGAAATAAAATTTGAAGCTATTTTTATCGTCTTTTAAACTGCAACCTCGGTAACGGGCATTTTTTCACATGATCTGGATAGTCGCCAGTCAATATTTGTCATACAAATATACGTACGTACGTGTTTTACTTATATTCCTCTATTATATCCACACCAGTTACAAATTTGTGTGCCAAGAAGTGCTAAGTGCACTATAACAATATTTATTTTAGGGACAGTGACCTTTGTTACCTAATTAGTATTGCGTTTTTTTGTAGACACTATTTACCAAATATGATTAAAAATAATACAATAAATATATGATATATGATAATAAATAAATAAATGATTTAAGAACAAATTAAAAAATATATTTGCATTTAACACCTAGAAATATTTATAAAATTTATAATCACAGTTACCAAATATTTATATTACGTTTCTATGAATTGCCGTCTAAATTAATAAAATATTATTATTAGTTAATTAATATAACCTTTTCATATGCCCTTGAACACCTGATTTTTTTATGAACACTCGAAAAATTCAAAAAAAGAAAAACAAAAAGTTTTGGATTATAATTAAAGGATGCTTTTTTTTGTTTGGGGTTGGGGGGGGGGAATTTGTTATTTTGGAAGATCCTTGCAAATTATAACACAAAATTTTAATCACCGAAAATGAAAAGGTTATGATTTTGACGTAAATTGCGGGGCACCCCGTATAAAGTCGTTGCCGCTACTTCCTGGGTGAAATTCCCATATCCGATTTAAGAACCCCGCATACGCGTCGCGGGTTATTAAACGCTAGTGAAAGTCTCCGCCCGTCCCCCCCGTCTCACCATATGTACGGCCCGAGAATTATATCTGTTTCTCTGTTTACGTAATTGCGTTTAAGTGGATTTTAAAGCGGCCAGGTAATTAATAGTCGCCTATCCGGTATACGCCGTTAATTAAGATTTAATCGGACCGATATACGGTCACGATTATAGTGGGGGACCGCACGCAATACCGACGTCGTCGTATACGAGATGATCGCGAAACATCAGGAGTGGGATTTATGAAAAAAAAAGACGCACACCTCCGTTTGATGCCGATATAATTTTCGCGAAAAATTCGGAAGGCACATATTTTATTAATATATAGTTCTAGAGATATTACACACTTTTTAGGTTAGAATTCTCGGTTCTCGCCATTGGAAAAGATTACGTAAAGCCTAATGGGTTTTTTAATAGTAGCTGTGTAGGTCCATATGGATGGTCCTAAAATACGAAAGCAACTAGCATGTGACGTCATCGGAAAAAGGAAGGAAATGATGGACTACATATTAGTTTCATAATTATGTCGAGAGACGCAATCCATAAAATCTTTTCAAAAATTTGAAATCTTTAATAGTTTTAGTTAGTCTTGGTTATACTCAAAGCGATAACAAAAGCAATAGAGAGGAGCCAACGATATACAGGGTAAAAAAAAGTAAAACATGGGAAAGCATTGCAACTTTGATCCATGTAAATCATCTAATATTTAAACGCTATTTAGGACTGAAAAAATTAAAGAGTTTTCCAATTTCCATCAACATTCAAAAAATAAAAAAACAGTTTTCAAATTTCTGAGGAAATATGCAACCATACCAAAAACAATAGAGAAAGCAGATTTAATACTAATATTATTTGTAAAATAAAAACTACAGCCAAGGAGAATTTTCTTAATGCTATTTTAAACACACAAAAAACGCATGAATAACTTTAAAATGCGAAGAAAGTCAGACTAATTAGCATGTGAACTCATCTCGTAAATATTACAAGCCACTGGTTTTCCAGAAAAAAAAATCATAAAAATGTCTTAAGTAAAAAAAGAAAACATGACACACTGCATACGAATTAATTATTTTTTTAATAATCACCATTAAGTAGGAGATGAATAATTCTGTAATCGTCTAAATGCCAAGAAAATGTGAAGTCTTTATAAAAATATAAGTTACTGGTTTTGAGAAAATCTCGATATTTGATTCATACAGTTTACGTATTTTCCTAGTATTTCCAGAAAATAATCACATCACTGGCCTGGGAAAATGGGAGCACTTTGAGGACTAATTTTCATAAAATAATTGCATACAAAAAATAATAGCATTCCATTTGCTTTCAAAAAATTTAAAAACGGTCCACAATTTTTGAGGAACTGCATATTGCTTTAACAATAACGTTGAGCACACACCACCAACAACTAAAAAAAAACTCAAAACCATACCAAAAACAACGGAAAAAACGAAAAACCAATCAATATCAGGATTTTTCAAAATAAAAAAAAACTACCGCAAAGAGAAACTTTCGAAATCTTATTTTCTGAAAATGTCTCAAGAAAAGGAAAAACAAGAAAACGTTATAATCTGGACAGCCTGTACACGACCTAATTGTTTTTTTAACAGCTGATATTTAGGAACCCATGAATAATTCTAAGCTGGAGAAGAAGATTTCATTACAATGATTGCAAGTGATCTAAAAAAAACTGCGGCTATTTGGAACCTTTGTTCCGACCATTTTGAAATTAAAAAAAAAAAGAAAATTTTGCAACTGTGACTCCCTGTATACGAAAAGAAACATTTTCGCACGTTTTTTAGCTGTTTATCCGCCCCACAGTACCTGCAGGTCGAATCTAGCAGCGTCACTGCCACTAGCATTGCGAAGCATTGATCCCACAGAAAACTTTCAAAGCTTACCTGAGCCTGGGGAATGGTGGTGAACAATATCTGAGGTATGGGACTCTGAGGCCTCTGTATAACGTTCTTCTGGGGCTGCTGCTGACTGGCATAGTACTGTAATCCCTCGGGTTTTGCTTCGTATACGGGCCTAGCAGGTTGCTTGTACCCCTGCGGGATGGCCTGAGCGTACTGGGTGTTCTGGTACGCGGGATCGGATATCGCGCTGGCGTGAAAAACCGACCCGCAAATAGCGGCCATTAGGATAAGCTCTCTCATTCTGCCTGGCAAAAGTGAAAATAATGCCGGTAGCTTTCTTAATTAAACAATTAACGCTAAAAACGCTTTCTTCGACCGGCGTCACGCACCCTGAGGAACGAGAAAGTACGTAACGCACCTGAAACGCGTACCACCACTGGTTGGGAATTAGAAACCGACGGGCGCGTTTATATAGGCTCGCGCCACTTGCCTCCCCGTACTCACCACTTTCGTCGCTTCGCATAGAGAAAGGTTACACTTCCCGCATAAGTCGCTTACAGTACGGTCGCGTAACCGCCATTTTTCTATACGCTCGGTTTAACGTTTTAACTCGACGTCGTAACCATCTGTCAGCCTCAATCTTTCGACGGGGCGTGAGACCAAGGGCGTGAGCTCCAAATTTACCCAAGTCAGGCCCTTAGTTTATTTGAAATCTTCCACAACTTATTTCCCACCTCTCAAACCCCCAACGATTTGAGGTTACAAAGGAGCATCGATATCAAAGGGCGTGGTTTACGAGTGAGGGCGGAGTCTACGTTGTGTCGGACAACGCCCAAGCCACTCACAGCCGAGCTTCTCTCTTGAACAAACTCACCACTTTTCGGGAAAAATCTTCCGACGTTCACCCCAAACGAATTTGCTGCACGTACTAGTGGAGTGGAATTGACCCGGCCACCTCTAGCCACACCCACTAGCAGATATGAGGTTAGAGCCAAAAGTTCCCGGCCTGACATAGATGCAGCTCCACTATCACGATTAACAGCATTTTAAACAAGACGTGAGAAATTGATTATAGAGCAGTCATAAAGTTTTTTACAACAGAAGGATTAGTACCTAAAATTATTAAAGAAAGGTTGGATGATGTTTACGTCCAAAGTTCTCCTTCGTATTCTGTAGTGAGTTGACAAAGGAGCATCAATGTCTATCAAATTAATCAGATGTTTTCAGAAATGCATCTTTCTACTTACTACACAAAAGTTTATAAGTACTGTTAAGCGTAGATCGATTCTACTATGTCAGAGGCCACTCCTAAATCGCACCCGTTGGAGATTTAAGAATAAAAATTTATTTAACTTCTTAACCACAACCACTTTATAAGAAAGATCTTCCGACATTCATCCCAGAGGACGTTTCTTGCACTAACTAGTGGAAGTGTATTCAACACTATCACCTCAAAACCTCGCCACTTTGAGTAAACAAAAGAGCATGGATATCTACCAAATTTCTTAGGGGCTTTCGGAAGTAGATATTTACTGCTAAATTACAGGTAGGAATTCATTTAACTCCTTGATCACTGCTTCTTTACAGGAAAGCTCCTCCGACATTCCACTTGGACGAACATCTCACGATACTCTTTAACGAGCTAGAGTTTTTTTCCAAAAAATAATACCTTAGGGCCAAGACATTTTTTAAAGAACTCGCAAATCAGAACTAATTTGTCTGTTGGCCAGCAGTGAGTTTTCAAACTTAAACGATAAATATAACTGCATATCATCAGCATACTGATGATATTTAGATAATTTAAATGGTCAGCAAATTTTGCGATGTATAAAACTCACTTCAGTTCACTCAAATAGCTTTGACAAATGGCCAACTTGCTAATACAGAAGTAATGGAGTTTAGCACAAAGAACCTCGTGATTGTAGATGTCAAAGGCCTTGCTGTAGACTTGAAGTAAAAGCCAGGTTTCCTTTCCTTCATCGCTAATCTCCAATTATAAACATTTAAATTGCAGATGTCCGGGATGTTATTTTAAAAAAATCAATTTAACATTTTTTGTGTAACCGAAAGTAACTTGAAAGCTCGACCATGACTGTTGTCACTATAGATGGTCGCCAAGACCGTGTCGGCAGAAAGAATAGCCTAACAATGACAAAATACTTCTGATAGCGTCTTACTGGAAAGAGATAAAGCATTTCGACAATACAAAACGAACAATATCTAGGCCCCGCCCAAATCACACCCCAGAGGGCGTAGTATGTGTGTATCGGAGATCGTACGAGGCCACACTTCTCGCAGTTTGTTTTCTGGCTCACTTCGTTTCTTTTAACTTGTCAAAAGGTGAACGGCAGGGATAAGGGGAGCAAAGGGCGCACTCGTCTAGATTTCCTACCCTTCAGGAACATTCGCCTCCTAAGGGGGCGCGATTTTTGACCTAAACAAATAATCTCGCCCTAACCCACGCTAAATCACGATCCCGACGACGACGTTGGTGTGAGGTGGGGGGGGGGGGCATCGCCGTGGGGGAAAGAAAGAGCGCAAACATTATCTGGAGTTAAAGCCGTGCGGGAAAATAATAGGACATAGAAAATCACTTAGGGCTGTAAATCGGGCGGTCGCGTCGGCGGATCCGCAGGCCCTTTCGACCCGCGCTTTTACAGGGCGTCTAATAACCAAAGAATCATCATTAAAGTGGTCTTATAAACGAGTACCCTCATACTTTTGATAGATTTTTTTCGAATCAAGCGTCCTTAATGACTCGAACTGCTTTTTTATTACTATGTCCAACTCTGAAGAAGTAGATGTTGTATTTTGTGTTTGTTTGCGTCAAACGCTATAGAATTACAAAAATTCCAAACAATATATCTTTAACTATGCTAAATACTGCTGTATTGATTGCCTCTGGAATCCTTTGCCGAAGTACCACTACATTAATACAAGGAGTTCTGCGCACGTGAGTTTTTATGTGTCCCCAAAAGAAAAAATCCATTAAAGTTAATTCAGGGCTGTTGGCTGGCGAATCCATAGTTCCGCCCCTTCCCTATCCAACCAACCTCTGGAATTGGGATATTTACCGTCTTGCTGTCATATAATTCTCAATGATATATTGAGAATTGATTCTTGATTCCCGAAAAATACCTGTCTCTTCATATACTCCGCCGAGCTCCTTCGAAATAGGTATTTCCAAGACTGACAAAGAAATTTACAGAAAAAAAAAGGTATGCCGGAATCGTAATGTTTTAAATGAATAAAATAAGGCAAACATATTAGGATTCTAGGAAGCACATCCCGTTTCCTCTATTACTTTGCCTTTGCCTTTAAAAATACCCTAATAATGTTTGTATCTGAATCCAAAATTTCCATAAATTAAAAAGTTATGAGCAATTTTCAAAATGGCCCTATATTTCGAACAAGAAATGTTTGAACTCCTCCAACATATGGAAGCTGCTAGTTTGGAATCAGGCCTACGTCTGAATAAGCCCAAATGCTGTCTGCTGCGGATAGACCTCCCAATACCCCTTCGAAACATTCATGATGTTGAAACCAGCGACACTGTCATCTATCTCGGGAAAAACTAACTAGCACAGGAAGCTCCGAGCCAGAAATCAAGAGAAGGATTTTGATGGCAAAAGAAGCTTCGGGTAGAAAATGACCAAGATGAGACTTCTCGATCACAACTTATGTGTCGAAATGTTGGATATTAAATGCAGCATGCTGCAGGAGAATGGAAGCGTTTGAAATGATTTGCTACCGCAGGATGCTAAGGATCCCTTGGACGGCCCGCAGAACAAACATTATATAACTAAATATGCGGGATCATAAAATGCTTTGGTCACGTGATACGGAATTATGGTATTTAGAAGATTGTGATCCAAGGGAAAGTGGAGTTAGATTGATAGACCAGATCAAGGACCTCGCAAACATGTCAGTAGCGTAAGTTATGAGAACCGTACTGGAGAGAGAGAGAAAGAGGGAGTTCAGAAATAGGGTTTCCCTAATTCCGGTTACGACCGCCCCGTAGCTTGATGACGTGGCTAATAGTTTTGGTTCTTTTACAGTATTAGAGTTGAGTTAACTTATTTTTTTCATTTTTTTACATACAAGCCCCTGTATATTCGAAGCATTTGCCCTTTCGTCCCCTGAATTATTTCCGTATCCAAACTTTCCATTTTCCGCGCCAGGATAGCAAACACCGTATAACTTGCATATGAAATGGCACTTCCCGTCCCCACCAATTTTTAATACTTTTTAAGTTACTTCGATGACTCCGTATACGTCGTGCCGCGCCTAACGGCGAGGTATTTAATTTCGGGTTGGTTGGTGGGGTGGGCGGAGATTACCGCGAAAACAGCCGCTTCCCAGTCGCGTTCTTTGTTTTTTGATGGTTTTAAAATTTTAACTCCGGCTCTATCCTCGCGAACGCGCGACGCACGACAAAATAATGGCCCTAAATTACACATGAAATTTTAACGGAGGCGGATTTGCATTGTTTGCGTCACGGCGGCGGAGTGGGGGGCGTGGATTTGCGAGGATTAGTTTTGACCGCACGTCCCTGACCCTTTACTCTCCCAGCGCCGCGTCTTTTATTCTCATATTTGATTAAAATTGTCAGAGAGTCACAGAGGAATTACCGAAAAAAAGGAGAACACGAATATGCTAAATATTACAGAATAAATAAGAACGAAAGGTTCAAAATAAATAAGAACTAAAAGTTTAGATTTTCACGAAATTATATATTATGGCATGACAATTGTTTCGACAACACCGTGTCTTTATCAAATGTAATATTTACAAACTACCTGCTACTATATATACAGAAAAATGACCATAAAACCTTAATTAATGTTGTTGCGAGAATTTAAGTTCAATAAAGGAGAGGTATTTAAATCTAATTGATCGTTAAGCAATACATTTGAATGTCTCATTTTGTTAATCTCCATGGCTTCCAATAAATTTAATTTTCTACTTTTTGTGGCTGTGTGTAATATATTAAAATTGTCAAAAATGTGTTTTTCTGTGTTCAAGTGTGTAGCATAATTAGAATCTAGACTATTATTTTTAAATGCTCTTATATGTTCGTTAATGCGTTTCTTGAAGGATCTACCTGTTTGTCCAATATAAATTTTAGGACAAGATCCACATTTCAACCTGTAGACACCTGATTTTTGGGATTTTGGACATTTCGATTAATTGTTTTTTAAATATTTTCCCATTGTGTTGTTAGTTCTGAAAGCTATTTTTAAACCACATTTTGACAAATGTTTTGAAACTTTTTCGCTAGTTCTCCTATGTATGTAATTGTTTTAAATTGTTCGTGTTCTGTGTTTGATTTCGGATAAATAGAGTTTACTGTTGTCTGTATTTGTTTTTTATTTATAATTTTATCTATAATGGACGGATTGTAGCCGTTGTTCAGTGCTATTTGTTTAATG